CCTTGTAATAGCCTATAATGGAAAAGAATGTATATATATATATATATATATATATATATATATATATATATATATATATATACATGTATAACTGAATCACTATGCTGTACACCACAAACTAACACAACATTGTAAATCAACTATACTTCAATTTTTAAAAAATGAGATTACACCCTACCCACTTTTTTTGCAAGATTCTATTTTTACTAGATGGGCAGTATCATGGGCAGCCTTACAGCGGCCTCCTGACCCCACTGCAATAGTGTACTCTTGAGGCCAACATATCCATGGGCTGTCCCCTGAATCCCCACCTTCCTGATGGTGGCAGAGATGACTTGAGAGGTGAACCAGGAAGAAGACCATTGTGTTTTCAACACCAGAGGTCATGGTGGCTTAGCATGGGCCAGTGGCAACCAGAATGGAGAAAAGTAAATGAATTTGAGAAAATACAGAATATATACATAAAATCTCACCCCCCCACTGCATTTCCCTTCCCTGGTTCACATGTGAAAAGTCCTTCCAGATATAATGCACACATATCTCCACATATAAAGTTGTTTTCTCTTTTGTTTGTTTAAAAAGTGGAATCATACTATTCCCATTTTTTCTTGCAGGATTTTTTTTTCATTTGATGATGTGTGAACAGCCTTCCATATCAGAATCCATCTATGTAACTTGTTCTTTTTATCAGCTGCATACTATTCCAAGCCATGGTGAAGCATTAGATCATATTTTTTAAACTTTATCATTATTAGTAAACACAGACGTTGACCACACTAATTTTTAACATTACAATAAATTGCCTTGGACACGAAGTCTTCTTCTTCTCTCAGAGTTTTCTGTGAAATAGATTCCTCAGTGCGGAAGGTAGAGCTCAAGTGGTAGAGTGCATGCTTAGCATGCACAAGGTCCTGGGTTCAATCCCCAGTTACTCCTCTAAAATAAATAAATAAATAAGTAAAACTAATTACCTCCCCCCCCAAAAACCCCAAACAAATAAAAATTTAAAAAAAAATAGATTCCTAGAGTCAGTCTTGTCAAGAGGTATACAGTTGACCCTTGAACAACAGGGGTTTGAACTGTGTGGGTCCACTTATACGTGGATTTTTTTCAATAGTAGATGCTACAGTGCTACACTGGTTGGTTGAGTCTACAGGTTCAGAACAGTGTATACGGAGGAACCACATATATATCCAGAGGGCCAACTATAAGTTTTACACAGATTCAACTATGTGGAGGGGCCCACCCCTAACTCCTCATGTTGTACAAGGGTTAACTGTATACCTGACAGAAATGTGTTTCCACGTGCACCAAAGGTCACACAAGAATGTTTGTTAGCAGCACTATTTGCAATAGCCCCAAACCGGAAACAGCCCAAATGTTCCTCATTAATACAACAGAATGATAAAGTCCAGTCTAGTCACACAATAGGATTTCATACAGCAATGAAAGTGAATGTTCTGCTTCACAGAGCAACATAGATGAAATTTAAAAATATAATATTTGGTGGAAGAAGCCAGACACACAAGAATATATACTATATTCATGGACATTGATGAATTCATTCATTCCTGGAATGGAACATTCACTCATGGAATGTTCAGAAACAGCCAAGTCCTGTTTGCAGTTGGGATAGTGGTTGCCTTTGGGGAGCTTTACTAACTGAAAGAAGGCACGGGGGGCTTCAGGGAACTGATAATATTCTCTTTCTCCACCTGCAATGGCCACCTGGGCATGTTCAGTGTCTGAGACACCCACTTAGGATTTGCATCCTTTTCTACATGCATGCTCTACTTCAGTAAACAATTTACCTACATTTCTTGAAAGGTACATGTATTTAAAATAATGACTGGAACTGCCAAATCACCCTCCAAAAAGGTTACATCAATTTACACGCTCACCGGTAACACACACAAGCTCTCCTGTCCCCACATCCTTGCCACAGCGACGCTAGACAGCTTTTTGATTTTTTGCCAATTTGATGGCGTTTGAAAAAAGGTATCTTCTCATTTTCATTTTCATTTTCCTAATCACCTGGAGGCTGAGCATCTTTCATGTTTATTGGCCATTTGAATTTCTTTCTCTATGAATTACCTGCTTATACTTTCCCCCATTTTTTCATTGAACTGTTGGTTGGGTTCTTATTTATATATAATGGGTATTAAGTTTTTCTTGGATGTGTTGCCAACATGTTCTCCTAGAGCACCTTTTGCTTTTTCGTTTTGTTTATGGGACATCGCAGGCATCTGTTGTGGGGAGGCAAGCAATGCGAATAAGCCAAGCAGGCTTGGAGGAGCGTGCGTGCCTTTGCTGGGAACCAGTGGACCAGATCTTCTGATTCTTCAGGAGATGCTGGAAATACGGATTTTTATGCGGAAACTTCCAATTTTAAAACGCTGGTAACTCATTCAAAAAACTTCAAGCACTAGAAGAGACAGCACACGTTTGGGCTGGATTGGATCAGCAGGATACCAGTTCGCAAGCCCTGGGTGATGCTGTATTTCCCTAAAAAGGAGGTTTGTGTTGTCACATCTGCCCATCTTTTCCTTTATGACTTCTGAGTACTGTGTCTTTTTTTTTTCTTTCTATCAGTTCAACACTTTTTCTTCCTCTAACTTCTTCTCTTTTAAGCTAGAGGAAAGCTTTTCATGTTTTTCTTTTTTTTTCAAGTCTCCTTAATGAGAGATAAAGGTGAATGCATACATTACTGGACTCCGAAAATAGAGGAGGTCCTGACCTTCGGGACTTGGGTGGCTGGGT